CTTCCACTAGACCAGGTTGCTCAAAGCCTCATCCAACCTGGCCTTCAACACTTCCAGGGAGGGGGCATCCACAACTTCCTTGGGCAACCTGTTCCAGTGTCTGACCACCCTCACAGTGAAGAACTTCCTAATATCTAATCTAAACCTACCCTCTTCCAGTTTAAACCCATTTCCCCTTGTTCTGTCATTAACTGCTCTTACGAAAAGTCCTTCCCCAGCTTTCTTGTCGGCCGCCTTCAGGTACTGGGAGGCCGCTATAAGATCTCCCCAGAGCCTTCTCTTCCTCAGGCTGAACAGCCCCAGCTCTTTCAGCCTGTCTTCATAGGAGAGGTGCTCCAGCCCTCCGATCATCCTGGTGGCCTCCTCTGGACTCATTCTAGCTGCTAAGTTGCAGTTAAACTTGTGCCCAGTGTACAGACTACTGGAGGACGGCAGATGGAAATAGGTAGGTGTAGATACATGTGCACTGGCACCTGAGCAGTGGAGCTCCCTGGTACTGTGAAACTGTTAGAAGAACGGTTGCCAACAGATGACTTTGGCCAAGGCTAACTTACAGTCTCACAAACAATTTGTGGCCACAATTCGGATGTTACAGCATGCCAGGGATTATTCCCAGTGTACAGTTTGCCTGCAGGCGCTCTGAGAGGCTGCAGGTTTAATAGACTTGGTCAGAGGAGAGGACACTGTTTGGCCTCAGGGCCAGAGGGCTGGCCCAGGCACTGTGGAGTTTGCTGGTTGCTCTGACCAGTGCAGCTGGTCAATGCTGAAGGAGGAAATTCATGTTGGTTTTAGCAATACGCCACTAAAAGGAAATCACCTTTCCCACACATCATTTTAGATGTCTCATTTCTGTTTGAACAAATACTTAACCTAATATTCACGTTAAGAAAATCTCAGTCTCTGTCGCTTTTGGGCCTTTCTTGCAGCTTGTTTTTGGTGAAAGGCAGAGGAAAGTATTTTCATCTTTCACTTCTACATTGACAACAGAATTTGTCTTTGTGATTTTTAGGGCGATAGTAAAAGGCATATTATCTTTGGTACCAGCAGTGATAATGATGCAGTAATTTTGCTGTTGTTGATAACACATTATTTGCACACAATTTTAGGAGCTGCCTTCTGTATGAAAAAGTGATCCTTTCACGTATGCCTAAAAAGCCCCACTAGTATATGTAAGAAAAGGGAAAAGAACAAGACACTGAGACACAAACTTACTATGCTGCCCACTTCTTAAGAAAGACAGCAATTATTTAAGAGCTCTGTTTTTGCAGTTTCTTGGGATGGCTACCCTCTTATTTTAATGAAACAGTGATTCCGTCAGCATTACCTCCAAAAGTTATGTATTTTTGTCGTGCATCTAGGCAGACAAAATGGGTTGTGTGAGAAGAACAACTAACACATGCACTTTAAAAATCTTCTGATTTCTAAATAGTATCTAGGTCATATGATACCCACAGGCATGATTCATCCACCTGGGCTTTATGCCAGTTAGCAACTGCATAGATCTGACACTCCAGGAGTACTGTAAAATTATTAATTATTATTTCTCTTCAAATAACACTGTTGATTATAGCTGTAAAAAATACAGCATGGATTTTATAGTTCCTTTCTGAAAGAATTCATTTCATTAAGTGGATGCAAAAATTACAGTATGGACTGAAGAGACGGCAGAACAGACCTAGCTGAATGAGCCCAGGTGGCTTTCCTTGGCCCTACAGACCTTCATTTCAAGGGTTGCTTGATATAAAGACCTATTTGAGGCAGAAGTAGTCTTCACCTGAGTGTATCCGCTTGAAGCCCAGCTAGCTGTTAAGGGTTGATCTTAGTTAGCTACAATGAGCTAAAAACTGCCAGTGGTCTCCCTCTGTTAGGCTTTTGTGTAAAGACGATAATCTCTTTGAGGGGTGGAAACCTCATACATTTAGTACAAACCTCATGCATTTTTTTTGCGATGAAGTTAATTTTCAAGAGATGAAATCATGTTTATTTTTAGACATGTGTATTATGCAGGCAGACACTCATAATTAAAGATTCAACAAGCCTTGTTCAGGGAACCGTCAAGTTGCATTTTAAAAGATGAGTAGGTGTCTAGGAAAACAAAAATGTGTGTAGCTGGGGTGTTTTTTTCAGGTGTACTGACATGTTTATCTCAATGAACACTTATAGGAGTAGATTATTCTGGGACTTGCCAGGTTGCTTACCTTGCATTTCTAGTTGCCTGTATACTTTAAAAATGTAGCCCCTAATGACTTTGAAAACCAGCTGCCTCTTTTAACTCCTGCTTCTGAAGAGTCCCATACAGATTTTTTTAAAAAAAAACATCTTTAGAGAGTAAAGGCTGAGATTGCTACAGTTGAACTAAAAATACAGTGTTCTGAAAATGAGGTGAGAAAGTATAGCCTTTGCCAACTTGTAAAGAAACAAGTGTTTAATTTTTGTGAACTTAAAACTGAAAAAAAAAATGTTTTCTCCTTTGCCTTCCTGAGTTTGTGACTTCCCATCACATGAAAGTGGGACAGGAGAGGAGGAATGTTCTCAGGTTTGTAAGCATGTGTGGGTTATGGTGGACTTGCTCTGACCATTGTGTTTTTATTTATTATTTTTTCATCTAGATAAAGAAGAGGCAACAAGATGTGGTGAGGTTTCTGGAAGCCAATCGCATAGAATTTGAAGAAGTGGATATCACAATGTCAGAAGAGAAAAGACAATGGATGTACAAAAATATTCCTGAGGATAGGCAGCCTGCACAAGGCAATCCACTGCCACCACAGATATTCAGTGATGATCGGTACTGTGGAGTAAGTAGCTGTTACGATTGTCAACAGGTGATGCATTAGTATACCCCCTTGTCCCTTTTGAGACCACTATAAGCTGGGGATTTATGGTTTCCTTGCTACTTGGGTCTAGTCCAAGCATAAAATTTCAGAAGGAATGAGAACATTGGCTAATTGAGTTATATTGTTGTTGTAATTAAGCTCCTTCTCAGCTGCTGTCATAGTGCAAATTTCATTTATGCTCAGAGAGCCTTTATGCAATCAGAGTCTCTAGGATAAATGAAAACGATTTGCTGTTTGAACTGTAGAATAGTTTTATTCTTACCTAAAGCAAAGCAGCTTGAGACTTGTCTTCCTCTGCTGAAAGACTGCTAAGCACGAGAGCCTGTGAATCTGACAACAGACTGATGGATGGAATGATTTTCTCTGATGGTGTAAGCTGCAATCACTTCTTCATCTGCTGGTGCAGGCTGAAGCAGTAGCCTTTGACTGATACGTGGGGAATGGCACCATATGAGTATTTTACTCCCATACTTGGCCAATGTGGTACGCTGCAGCCCTGAGTCTTGGGTACTGTTGTAGTCGGGAGAATCTTCCCAGAACTTGGACTCACCTTTGAACAACATGTAAAGAGCACAGCTGGTCCCTCTTTGCCTTGCTGCATCTTTTCATACTTCAACCGTGTGACTTGTATACCCTTTAGGAGGCAGGTCTGAGGTACCTGTTAGACTGGCTGGTGGGAGAAAGGGAGGTTTGATGTGCCACCCTGCTTGCATCACGAAGTGATTGGGTAAGGTTCACCTGTGAATTGAGTAGGAGAATGAAATGGGGAAGAGCATCTCTGTGGCTATGATACTTGGATCAGAGCAAATGTGGGTATTATGTGGGTTTCTGACTGCAATGTGGTGAAGATACATCCAAGCTGGTTCTAGCTTAGTCCCTGCCAGACTCAACAGTGCTGTAATGAAGCTGTTTCTGTCTGACGAATTGTTCAGAACTGATGAGAACCTGTCAGCTGCAGTGCAATTGTTAGATTAATGTGGGAAGCATGTAAGAAGTGATTTAGGATCCTCTGCAACAAACAGATTGGGTATGATGCGGCAGCTCTCTCGCTTCTTGAAATAAGGTATTTAACATCCCTCCCATATGCTTTGTATTGTCCTTACTTGCTTACCTCAGCAGTGTAACTCATTTTTTCCTACTTCCAGGTAAGAAATGTCAGTTAAAGAAATGTATCTGGGACATGGAAGGGATTTTGACCCTCACTTATGGAGCAGCCTCTCACTTACAAATAATAACATGTACATTGTTCTGTGTGATTTTGGTTTGCCTGGGAAATACAATGTTTTAAGCTGCTGTTTCTTACTCTTTCAGCTTGTCTTTATGGCATGTTTTAACCTAGTCTTAGAAATTGCTTTTTGGAATTAGTGAGGAAGATGCCATGCAACATGTGAGATGATAATCTGTCTGCTCAGCTGATAGCTGTTTTGGTTGAGCACAGTTAATCCTATTACTAGGCCTCACTGTCTGCATGGACATCTTTAAAGAGCAAACATGCTTTGAAAGAAACTGTATTTTCTAGGATGAAGGAAGAAGTATGTGCAGGATCTCCAATATTCATCATTAGCTTGCTGCAATAGTTAATGAAGTTCTTAGGTAATAGAGTGGAGGGAAGCATAAGGCAGGAGGCAAAGGAAGTCAGTGCTAGAAAGGGGGTTAAAATATCACAACTAGATGAAGTCAGCAGACATTGCACATCTTGTCTCTCTTTGTCATTTCCACAGTGAGTGTTTTCGTTTGTTTCTCTTGACATAAATAACTAAACAAAAAATCACTATTAAATAACTTAAAATAACTTAACTTATTAAACTGAAAAAATACCCACCGAGTTTTCTGTTAGTTGAGCTAGTAAAAATTGTACCTTATCATTCCTGTCCAGGCAATTTAATCCAATTTGCACTATTAACAAGCACTGTCTGTTTTTCTGCGTGCCAGTTCTACAGTCTCACCAGGAAACTGCCTATGTACTTATTCTGGTTATGCATTGTTACTGGCGATACAGACGTCCTTACTTACAATACAAACTGGTCAGATTCCTTGCTGCTTCTCTAAATGTGTCAGGGCTAGACAAGACAAAGCAAAATAGGTACACTTTTTACTTTGGTCATGCTATTTCAGTAGAGGTTCACAAGCATGTAGTGTATGAACCATGACTCAATGTTGTGTTCATAGCCTTACTGTTTTTTCTGTGTTAGTAAAAGCATTAATAGTTTGGGTTTTTTTTCCTCCCCATTTTCTCTTTAGTAGAAAACCTTAGCAATGTGCAGAAGGGTATTACCTCAGAATAAATTTTTCTGTCTAGGACATTAGCATTTGAAATAACCACTTTTCAGAATGTAACTGCAGTATAGAGGAAGTTTGTTTTCAGTGTTTTCAGTAAGTACCCAAAATTGATTGGTGTCAGCCATTTGGATATGTGATAGTTGGTGTAAGAGAGAAAAAAGGTACCAAAAGATGAGCAGTGCTTACTGGTTCATGAGACATGTTGTACCATGGGGGGAAGGATCCTTCTGGTACCAATAGACAAACTGCATGTTTTGAAGTGTGAGCAAGACCTTGAAATTTTTCTGAGTCAATGTAATTGCAAATATGATCATTAATCTATCTTATCCTTTTATCAGTCTTCTGAGATGCGCTCCCCAATTTTTCAGTAACAAGTTCTGAATTTGTAACGGATTTTGAAATAAAGTACTCGGCAAGAACCATTTTTATTTCCTGTGAACAAGATAAGAGCTGTGAGCATACAAGAACACAAATCATTTTACTGATAATCCAGTGCTATGTCATAGCACTAACACTATGATAATTTACATATTTTTATGACTTTAAAATCTGTTGTTTCATCTTAGTGACATTGGTATAACATTGTAAGTGTATGAGAAAAGAGTCTACATTTCAGACAAATCAGACACATTAATCTGCTCTTCTAATTTACGGCAGTGTAAATCTGAAATTACTACAGTTATGTTGCTCTAGTAAGTGCTGTGTAAGAGTAAGGAAATGTTAGTTCCTAGTGCATGTTCCAAGAGGGAACTCATGTGCTTTGCATAAAGAAAAGTAAAATGGAGATAATTTGGAAAAGATTAAAAAAACAAAAAAATAAGTAGAGCCTTAATAGTAGCTGGTGTGATGGGTTGGATTGTTGGGCAATTAAACCAATTGTGTCTTGACTGGTTCTTTACAAGGCTCATCCATAGTTAGGCTCCTGCTGTAGTACTTTGGCATACAGCTATGACATGCAACTCAAATCATGGATTATTTTCCCCTAAGGTTAAATCCCTTTGAGGTACACACCGGGTTTCCCCATCCTCATGCATTACCCACCAAGTGCACCCTGGCCCTTGCGCAAAAGGAACCCCACGAACGGGTTTGCCTTTTCCTGAGGGAGGAACAACCCACACTGTCTTTCCCAGCCACTGTTTGTCACAGCAGAAAAGCTTTAGCTGTTTGACTTGTTTGATCGTGGCGCATATTTCGCATTTGTGGATAACCTGTTCAATGGCTTCAGTGGTCAGGTCCACCCCTCGATTACGAGTCCATCTGTACATGGCCTCTCTTCCCAGGTGTCCTGAAGCATCATGGGCCCACTGAGCTATGAATAGCTCGCCCCTATGTTCCCAGTCCAGGTCCACCTTAGCCATTTCAGTTCTGGCAGCCTGGTCTATCTGCTTCTTGTTTCCATGTCCTTTGGTGGCACGGCTCTTGGGCATGTGAGTGTCTACATAACGTACTTTTACAATGAGGTTCTCTACCTGGGCAGTAATGTCTTGCCACAATGCAGCAGCCCAAATGGGTTGCCAGTTAGTCAGCTTCTGTTGCCGTAGCTGCCCCCCAGGGGCATTTGCTGCCATCCATGAGTCAGTGTAGAGATAGAGTACTGGCCACTTTTCTCTTTCAGCAACACATAGAGCCAGCTGGATGGCTTTCAGTTCTGCAAACTGACTTGATTCGCCTTTGCCAGTGACAGTTCGTGTGATTTGTCTTGTGGGACTCCACACAGCAGCTTTCCACTTCTGATGTTTTCCCACAATATGACAGGACCCATCAGTAAATACAGCATATTGTTTTTCATTTTCTGGTAATTTATTATATGGTGGGGCCTCTTTGGCCTGAGTCACCTCCTTGAGTGATGCTTCAAAATGTCTGCCTTCTGGCCAGTCCCTGATCTCTTCTTCCTGCTGTCCCTCAGGAAAAGCTTCTGTCTCCTTTACCAAACTGGGTCGACCTATGCTTTCGTTGTTTCTTCCTGACTGCAGGAACATCTGTTGTAGTTGAGGGTTGGGTTTCTGATTTAGCTACAGCATCTGTTTGCATGTCCTCAGATCCAAAGACCCTTACAGCATCCATTTGTATGTCCTCAGATCCACAGACTGTCACAGTGCCTGTGTGTCCTCAGATCCAGAGACCCTCTTGTTCCTTTGAGCATAGGCACAGGCCTACCTCAGGCCTCAAGACAGTGCTGGAAGTGGTGTCCCTCTGGATATGCAATTGGCATGAACTGGTCTGCCAATTCAACAGGATTCCACGTCTGTTCAGGAGTGAAGTCCCAAACCATCAGAGGTGAAAACTGCTCTAGGCACCTGCCCAAATTCTCCCACACACCTTGCCCCTTGGCAATTGGTTGTCTCAGGGCAGTTCCTGTGTGGCATTCCCAACTAGTTCGCTAACCTCATGAAAAACCAAAATCGGTGTCACTGCACCCACCAATACAACCTTCTGGTTACATTGGGATGTTCAAGAAACTGAAGGGCCATTACAACAAAGGTGGAAACCTCTGTCCTGGAGCTGAAGAAGAAGATGCCATTCTTCATTTCCTCCACAAAGTGGCTCCTGGAGAAGAGAAGAAAGGTGTAATTGCTAATTGTCTCCACAAGATGGTTCCCAGAGTACTAGGATGGCAGCAGTGCAGGGGACAAATACCAGATTAGGCTCAAGGCCAATGCTTTTATCATGGCTCTCCCAGGCAAAGCAAATGAAATTGATAAACAACATAGCAAACAGCA